CTTAATGTTTTTAAGCATCTTAGATTACTTAATTACAATACCAAGATGTCTTTCAAGCGGAGGCAAGTCCGATATATCGTAAGTTCCTGGCCCAATCTTAGGAGGTGTTTGAGTAATTATTTTTGGAAATCTTTCTGTTCTATTGTATGCCATTCTTTTTTTATAATTTAAGAAAAATAAACGTAGCATGTAAAAACATTGAAATTGTAATCTAATCTGCTGTATGTTGGAAACGCATGTGAATTATGCTAAAGTAATGAAATTCAACCAATCGATTACTATCGGTTTTAAGGAATTCAATTATTCATTTCACGTCATTGATGGAACATTGATTCGAAAATATAGATATATTTCCGAGCTTTCCATATAGATATATTTTATATTATTATATTATTGTATCATCCCGGTGCAAGAAAATTTATTTGTTTGCGATAATTGTAACAGGTGACGTATTCACGCCTGAAGGACGCTGTTTTCACTTCTTTAACCTACTTTTTCACAACGTTCGCCTTGCATAAATTTTCAGCCGGGTCAGTTAATAATTTCGTTCTCGTTACGCGAAACCCATTAACGTTTTGACTCCGAAGTAAGAGATTATCATTTGCATCAAATTGAAAATAATTCGCGGGTGCGCTTGTGCGAAAAGTGAAGGGTTCTACGACGAACAACTTGCGTGTTTTGCAAGTGATATCTCTTTCATTGCATCATTTGAGAAATGTTGCGTATCACAGATCGATTAATATTAAACTTAAAACTTCTTTTTACATGATTCTTGCGTAAAATTACGCAAAAATTTACTAATTTTGTTTGGTTCCTCTGCTGGTGTCGCAATGTTTTCTGAAACAAACTTAAATTCCAAAAATATTAGTAAAATTATACAAAATACATTTAATTGCCGGTAAGAAACGTATTGCAGCCTCGTTACAACCACCTTTGTACAGCTTTTTCAGCTGTATGCTTTTCAGGTGATTCAGGAACATACTTTCACGATTTCATACTTTCATTGGAAAAAATTTGAACATTTTATAAACGCAACACTAGTTAAAGAAGTAATTCAAACAACCACGATGAGAAAATATCGCAACACTAATTTTTAAAAAAGAATTTAATAAAGACAAGATATTCTATCTAAATGAAAAGTTACACAAATAATAATACTATAAAGTTAGTTAAAAATTAATATTTTTTTTAATTCAACACTCAATAAAATAAAAAGAGACAAATTATAACAATTAATTTTTAAGTGCACTCTTAAGAATTTATAATCAACAATAAGAACAATCACGGTACCTTAATCGTAATAACATTTCATCGCAACTTTAATATAATCCGTAATTAATTTTTCGAAACACTAATAAAAAACCGTGACTTATCCAATAATATGATAGTGGGTCGATATCGATAAAAGAAAAATATACTACTCTACATACTATAAATATAAAAATGAGCATAGTGACAAAGTAATAACAAGAATGATTTCCCATGTTCTGAATGAATTTCCCATTCAGAGGATGAGAAGTCATTTGTTGCAGCCCTCTTCTATGGCAGTTTGCCGGGCCTCTTCTTTTCTTCGGGCACAATGCCCGCTGAAACTTATATCTAGGCTCGAGTCTTTCTAATCACAAACTAAAAAATAACTTATCGATAAATCGCGAAAAATAATTTAATTACACATGGACGACCATCGATCATGATGATCGTTGTTCGTTCGCATGTGCGTGCTCGAGCAATACCTACGTAAACGTTCGTTTCGGGACCTACTCGCGACCTATCCACGACCGCGACCGCGATACTAAATTCGAAAAATCGAAGAGTAAAATCAGAAACAAGTGGCATGACCCATTTGTACCAACTTCACTGTCGATTTTTCAAATTAGATTTCCTGAAACAGGTTAGACACGCGAAAAGAAGACACGCGACCAGAGACTGTGCCAACCTGCCCGGCCCTACCTACTTATGATTAAACACATTCACAC